AAATGCTTCAAGATGGTGGCAAACCTAATACACAGTGTTTCAACAACCTTCTTCATGCTTGTGTCGAGGCTTGCCAATATGATCGGGCATTTCGACTATTTCAATCCTGGAAAGGAGGCAATACAGCAAAAGATGTAGTTTCTGAACTAACAAGTCAAACTTGCAATGCTTCTAGATCATTTGGTTTGGCCAGTTCATGCCAGTCACGTTTAACCATGAAGGTCCCATTTAGACCCACTACTTCAACGTATAATATTTTGTTGAAAGCTTGTGGCTCTGATTACTACCGTGCCAAACATTTGATGGATGAGATGAAAACTCTAGGTCTTTCTCCTAATCACATAAGCTGGTCAATTTTGATAGATATTTGCGGAAGCTCAGGGAATGTAGAGGGTGCTATGAAGGTAATGCAATCTACTGTCTATATCTGTGGGAACCTGATTGATGAAATAACATGTGATCATTAACTTGCTTATTGGATCTATTGCAGACATTCCAACAGCAATTCATTTCATCAAATGAAAAAAAAAATTAATCCTATTATATTCTATTATGAAGATGAACAATTCTGGCATATCTTCAGTTGATACGGTACTGGAACTTGCTTGTCAATAACATAATTTAAATATTCAAAATCTTGGAAGGTAGACATAGAGTGAGAAACGCATTTGGAAGTAACGGAATCATTGGAGTCTAAAAAAGTATGGCTAGAAAAATAAGGCGAGTTATAGTTTAAATTGTCTAGTGAGGAAAGTTCCTTGTTAAGCGTTTGATGGACATAATAGTTGCCTTTCAAACAATTGGAATCTGATTTTCTCAAGTTCAGACTAGCTTGAAAATTTTATCGAAGATGTTGCAAATATTATGATAATTTCTATAAACTTATAAATGCTAAATTAGTCAAAGGACTACTGTATTTTAACTATATATATATAAAGGTGGGAGTGGGTGGGTGATGCTTCAAGAATATCTCACGTTCTATATGCTGGCGTATGCTGAATAAGTGTGATGACTTGAATTCTAGAACGTTATCCAGGTTAACAAATGACAACATTGGAACTTAGGAAAACTTGAGTAAGGTTATACATCCTATAATTACCTTTCTTCTTGCAGTGCAGATCTTGAGATCCATGCGTGAGGGAGGTATTCAACCTGATGTGGTTACATATACTACAGCGATTAAGGTTAGAAGAGTTCATTTTCTAATGTCTTTGTTTTATACACTGGCTTGTCATAGCAAGTACCAAATCCGAGTCTGCGAAGTATGTTCTCTTAAACTGAATTAATGTCAGATGTATCTTACTCTTTAATCAACAGGTCTGTGTGGAACATAAAGATATGAAGCTTGCATTTTCATTGTTTGCAGAAATGAAAAAGTATCAAATAAGACCAAATTTGGTGAGGGCGTTTAATTTGACAATGTTTTGGCTTTCCTTTACCTTTTCTATCTAGCCTAAGTGCTTGACAATGTACTAAGATAAACTCATTTAAAGAGGTTTACATACATCAAGATTTTAGGTTAGTAAGCCATCTAGAGATTAATTTCAGGTGACTTACAACACGCTTCTTAGAGCTCGAAGGAGATATGGTTCATTGCAGGAAGTACAGAAATGCCTTGCTGTATATCAAGATATGCGAAAAGCAGGGTTAGTGGAATTTTTGTAGCCAGTAATGCCCGTACATTTTCTTTCTCGAAATGATGACAATACATTTATTTTCCTCTCGCTGTTGCTTCCCTTTGGATGCATGTAACTCGGCCAAATAACAACTCAAACAATTTGCAGGTACAAACCCAATGATTATTATCTCAAGCAACTAATTGAGGAGTGGTGTGAGGGCGTCATACAAGATAGCAGCCACAATGAAGGTCGATTTACTTCTCGCAGAACTGATTTCGGGCCTCACAGTCTACTGCTTGAGAAAGTCGCTGAACACTTACAAGAAAGCAATGTCGAACGCTTATCCATTGATCTCCAGGGTCTCACAAAGGTATATCTACTATAGCCTTAGAAGTTTCTGTAGAAGAGTCCCAACTATTAATTCAAATGTTAAATAGTAACTTAGCTTCTCAATTCATGATTAGGAATTGAAATAGATAGTCTATTTTTGCTACGTTTTCTAGAATTCTTCGTTTATTATCAAGTTAGTTAGAAGAAGGCCATCATGTTACTGAATGACTAATATTGAAAATTGTAAGGGAGAGTACATAGCTTCATCATTTATCATTCACAAAGTCTGGCTTGATTTCACAAAATGTTTCATATAATTCATCGACAGGTAGAAGCACGGATTGTTGTTCTTGCAGTTCTGCGAATGATCAAAGAAAAGTACTCAACAGGTGACAAATTTTGATCCTTAAGAGTTTAGTACTTATATGGGACTTCTGCAGGCCTTTTCAGCCAAATATCATGTTTCCGAAACCTTACATACACATAACTGAAAACTTTTTAGAAAATAGTTGCAGCATATTTAACTTTCAGCCTTATTTTGGTTGCAGGAGATTCAATAAAAGACGATATGCTGCTCATATTAAGCGTCCAGGAAATAGGTGCATGTGTAGGCAAAGATGAGATTGGAGTCAAAGAAGCTGTCATTAAACTCTTGCAGTATGATTTAGGGCTTCAAGTAATTTCAAGAGGATCCAGGATTGGAAATAACAAAAAGAGTGATGTGGAAAATCCTGTCTGTTCAAATTTGAAACTGGAAGATCTCAAAAGAAGTGGCCCGTCTCCACAATTGGAATCTCCTACTAGAAGACCTGTAGTTCTACAAAGGCTAAAGATAACCAAGGAATCATTGCATCATTGGTTGCAAAGGAAGACGGCAGCAACAATAAAATGAGCAAGTTACACACTGAAAGTACTTTCCATATTTCTTACAACGACATCCTCAAATATGTAGCAGCCATTCTTTATTCTTTTATATAAAGAACAGGAAAAAAATATAATTGTACATTTGACTGAGAGCAAGCAGTTCCCTGCTAACTCCGTTTTGTGCTGAATGTACATAAAAGTTGCAGAATGAATATATACATATTTCTCCAAAAACTCTGTTTCTCTTTTCTAGTTTGGTCCTATGCTGTTTTGCTTCCCTAGCTGCATTTCTTTCTTGGGTCGGTACTTCCAATGTACAAAACAATTTACATTAAGAGCAGTGATCCTAAATTAGAGAGGAACAGCCAAACAGGGTTTCGTATGTAAAGCAAATAACTTATAAACTTCGACAATACAGCTGAACAAAAAATCACAATGTTCCCCAATGCTCAAACAGAATGCAGTTCATTTCAGAATAAATTACTTTCAAAAATCATTGTAATACAAGGAACGAGCCACGAGTCATATTTCATTTCCAGTAGTAGCACAGAGAACATGACAAAATGCTTACAATAACTTCTTAACATTTTTTGCATTATTGTAAAGTAAAATCACATATCCAGTCTGAACGGATAAATTCCTAATATTCATACCAGAAACCGATCCACAGTTGCTTCAAAAATCGCTCAGAGCCAATCCTTCTGCTGCAGTTTTAGGGGCAAATACACCTCAGTCAGATACTGAAACCCAAATGTACTTAGTGCCTGAATCTCAGCCTTCTGCTTCGACTTCACCATCAAAGACAACTCCTCGACCCACCCGGAATTCTTCTTAACAAAATCTTCCTCCAGCAAGTCTTTCCCAGTCTTAATATCCTGCTCGGTCATTGGCAACCGACACTGCTCCGGAATCTTGTATTTATCTAGATCACTAGGCCGGATACCCAGCCACTTTATGTCTGGAGTAGTCAAATTTGCACTGTCATATGACATATTCTTTGACCCACAACCATACACTGACAAAATCTTCAACCCATAGGGATCGCTGTCCACTAGAGCTAACACCGGCAACTTCAACTCTGTCTTCATTTTCTTCAGAAACAATCGTGTTGCCACATCCGGCTGTCCTTTTGCCGTCACAATTATGCACGGGAACCTGTTATAAAACCTATCTTCTGCCAACCTCATATAAGCCGCATCCTTCTCCACCAACAATATAAACAATGCATCACTCTGCATATCCCCAACTCTATCTATATTGGGAGGAATCGCCTTCCCCCCCATCCCCATTTTTGTACAATCAATCATATCACCATTATCACTAAATATCAGCCTCCCAACAACCACCCCTTTCTCCGCAGCAACCACGTTGAGGCTGGACCGCGTGCAACCAAGAATGCACGACACGTCATCCAGAACTGCATCCGATTGGGTTTGGTCTTGGAAGAGTTTAACATCGGTGTAAAAGAGATCACGCTTGGTGACATGAATGCTTTTAAGACAGAGCTGGTGGATGAGCTGGAGGATGCGAGTGGAAACGGTGGCCTTGCGGACGCTGGATACATTGGCGAAGGGGCGAACGGCACTTTTATCCTTTAACACGATGCGGTCTAACTCGGGGACGTAAAGTTGGTTAGCAGATGAACGGGAGGGGACAGAAAAAGAGAAGCCGTTGCCGGCGAGAATGGAGTGGGCAAAGGAGAGTATGAGAGATTCAATGGAGGATTGGACGGAGGAGAGCGAGCGGTCGGTCACTTCGCGGCATGCGGTGGAGAGGTTGAGGTCGCTGAGGGTTAGGGGTTTTGTTTCGGAGGAAGAGGCGACGGAGTCTTTTAGGGTTTTCAATGTTTGGAGGATGGCCGAGTCGGATTTGAGTTTGGATTTGAAAGGAAGTTCCGAGTCAGAGTCCGAGTCGTCGACGGGCCGGCGGCGCTTTCTCTTATCGGCCATTGTTAAGATAGGGAGAGGCGGGAAAGCTTGCTAGGGATTTTATTGAATGATATGGATAGGCAAAACGACACCGTTAACGCTTCCTTTTATCTCAAGCGTTGATAGTTTATTAATTTTTTTTCATTCAGTTTTAGGTTTTAATTTGATTCGCGCGGGTAGTCGCTAACAATTAAAAAGGGATCAGACGATTGTGTAATGGACAAACCTCTTGAGACAAAGTCTCAAAAAGGGGTGTTTTATTGGCGATGACTTTACAATTGAAATTTAAACAGAAATGTCTCTAAAGGGCGCAAGCACACGAATACTGAAAAGAAATGTTTTAAGTCTAAACTAAGAAATTGAAATTACATATTCTCTGTTTGAGAGTATTTGATCCGGAGTCTTTTGCTCTATGTCTTTTTTTTCTTTTATATTCCTTTGATGCTCTCTTTGTGATCAACCGCTTAGAAACGGCTTAATTGCTTTATAACTGCCCACTTTCTTCATGGTGGCCAACTTATCGTGGAACTGCCGTTTCTAACTGCTGCCATTACTCTTTGTCGTTCAATCGTCCTCAACTGAACATCCTTGAATCGTGGAACGTGATAAGATTACCCAATAAGTGTTTCGATAATTGCACTTTTGGATAACCATAACATCACATGTTTGTTAAGATCCTGGGCGATTCGAAAGTTTGGGCGAGAACAGGGTCATAACTTTAGGCGACTGCAAGGCACTTCATTTGCTCAGATCCTGGGCGTCTTGTAAGTTTGGGCGATGGTGTTACCGCGTTCGTGGGCTTCCACTGCATTCATTAATAACCCTATTCGGGCCTTTATCCTGAATTGCCCAGTTGGGCTTCATTCTTTGGACTATTTGAATTGGGCTGCACTTTTAGCATGTCAACAATTATCCCCCAATATGGCAGAATTAATACAAATTATTAATTTTTGCCATATTCACTTTGTGTTTCCCAGCAACATTTGAAATTCCCAAGAATTTCAATCATTATTTTCTTCCATAGCTTGAAAAGGTGCGACGTTGCAAACCCTTATAACCCCCAAATACGCGCCATTTCATCGCACTACTAAATCACGCCTCATTGCTTCGCGCTTCTCTCTCGCAATATTACTGTTCATCTTCTTGCTTCTCTGCTACGTTTCTCAAACAAATTTCAACAAAGCTTTATTTCGTTCCTAATGGCTGCTTCACAATCCCAATCTAGTGACTCTTTCAGTTTCGAAGACTTTCAGAAACTCCTCAATCGGCCATATATAACTCCTAACTTCCTTGCACCAGCTAATGCCGAACTCAACGAGTTCTATCTAGGTCCCTCATTCAATAACGTCGAGGCCGTCGAACAAGTAGCGGTAGGCCAGCTATTCCCTCGTACTCAAGGCCCTCCGTTTCTAAACTCTTTGCCGCTGAGGCCACTTCGCGAAAGAGGTATTCACACTTGGCCTAAATCTGATGTTATTTTCTGTAGATGGCATGCTCGTCTTGTGGACCATGGTCCTACCAAAGCAATTTTTGATAATGTTAGGATTTCTGATTTGCTAGAAATCTCTCTTCAACCCCCTATTTTTGATTCAGCGCTTTTCCATATTGCATTAAGTTTTTGGTCCTCTGAGTATAATACTTTTGTTTCCCCTCTTGGTCCCATGTCCATCACTTTAAGGGATGTTGGGGCCTTAGTAAATTTGCCACCTTTGGGCGATACCATTTTCCCTGATATTTTGATTTCTAGTGTCGCCCCAAAATTTGACAAAAAACTCACCGAGTCTTATTCAAGCCTGCAAGGCTGTTATAATCACTCGAGCGCTGAGCCTTCTCATGCTGAGCGTGTGACCTTTCTTCAGATTTGGCTTTGTAAATATATCCTGTGTGTGCCAAGCCTGAAGCCTTCTATGAGCTATTTACCCATAGCGCACGAATTGGCGCGTGGTAGGCCTCTAAATTTGTGTTCTTTCTTTTTGACCGCTCTCTATAGAGGCATAGCTTCTCTCCAATTTCAATTGAAGAATGGTGCATCTCCCACTGGCAGTGGGCCTCTTTGGTTCACTCAAATGTGGTTGAGAGCCTATTTTCCATCACTTGGTGCTCTATCCCTTTCCCTTCATTCTGCTAGTTGCTATGGGCTAGCTATTGACCCACTGAGCCCTGTACATATGTCCAAAAGGGATATTTTTTCATTCTTTTATACTTTGAATTCAATTCCTTCTTTCTTTCCTTTTCCTCCCTTTTTAACTCCTGATTATGTGCATCCCCCATCTACCCTGGACAATGCGAGCACCTTTCTGCTCGTTTGGGTTCAGTTTTTGACCGGGAGGGAGTTGTTCCATGATATTTTGATTGGAACTAATGCCAAAACTGGGGTTGAAATATATGCTCCCCAATTTTTTGCTCGTCAACTTGGTTTCAGCCAAACTTGGGCTGTTCTCCCTTGTTATTCAAGAAATTTGATAGATCGCTTCTACACCATAAATAAGGCAGAGGCAAAAGCTATAAATGCTCGCAACATTCTTTTGACGAGTAACTTTTCATAGCTCCTTTCAATCCTAGCCGTGCCACCCATCTCCTTTTTGAACAACTCTGGCCATCAGTGCAGCGCAGATTGTTTGCAACTGATGTCAATCGCACTTTCCATTCACTGGATCAGCCGGACATTTCTTCCACTTCCCCTGTTTTGGTCACCCCTGTGTCCATTAGGAGTCCTTCCTCTTCTGCTCGTGCTAAACAGTCTGTTCGTCCATCTACTTCCCTTCCTGCCAAGTCTACTGCATCAAAAGTATCCCAAGCCGTAAATGGCCAGTCTCAGCATCTTTCATTTTGGAGGATGATGATGATGATGACACTCCTCTCATTTTCAGGAGAAAGGTAATTAAATTAGTTTACTTACAAGCATACCATTCTATACTTGAAACTTTTCTATGTGCTGATGGTTTATTCGAATTTCTCAGAAAAGCTCGGCCTCTCTTTCGAAGGCTTTGGTGTTGGCAGCTCCTACTCCATCATCCTCTGCTGAGGCTGCTTCATCCAAACCAGCTGATGAAAGGACTACGCTTAAAAAGAAACTTTCAGTCCCGGAATCCTCATCACAACCAATGGATGAGTCACCTTCTTCCCAGGGTGTCAACCCCCCAAACGTTGAACCAGAAGGTAATACATTTTTTGATGTTTTACCTTTGCTTGTGCTATTAGTTTTTGATTTGTTACTTTTTGAGTTTTGCAGATGCTCCCATGGGTTTGCCCGTTGTGGCAAAGTCTTCTCGCTCAGACAATGGGACGTCTTCACAAGTGGTGGAGCCACAGGTGGTAGATTTGGCTAGGGATATGCCACCTCTCAAGATCGCTGATGAGGTAATCTCTGCTTCACTTTTACTTCCAATTTGTTCATCGTAGTGAAAACTTTCAATGTTGGCAACTTTCTTTGCAGGATGCTGATAAGATTGTGCGTTCCATCCAAGACTTGTTCACTTCCTGGGGGCAAGTCAAGACGTCTTGCCCTGCTTCAACCAGTCTTCCTTCTGCTTCTTCAGAGGAAGATATGAAGTTCCTCAATCAGTCGATATTTGAGTATGTGTCATTTATGGATATGGATATCGGTCAGGCTAGTGCTGCCAAACATAAGGATAAGCTTGAGCATTTGAGTCGAAGTTGGAACAAGCACTGACACTTCCGTTGCTCAATCTTTCTGCTGATTTTAAAGCGACGTTGAAAGTTGTCCATTTCGAGGTTCTCTCCTTGCTGGCCAAAAATGTTGAACTGAAGGCCAAAAGTACTCAATATCTTTGCGCTGTATCTGAAAGAGAATATTTGCTTCTGGAGATCAACAAAGTTGAGAACGAATTGAAAGAAATCTCTTCTGAAGTCATGATTGAAGACTCTTTGATGACCAGTTTGGCTGCACAGATGAAGGAGTTTCGAGCAAAGATGGACGACTGCAAGGCGAGAATGGCTGCCAAAAAACGCAATGCCTCCCAAGGAATTGAGCGAACCAAGTCTTTGGTCGAGCAGTACAAGAAGCTGGAGGTCGATGATGATTTTGTGGCTGAATTGAATGTCACTTCTTCTCAGCAGAACAAGAATTGGGGGAGACTTAGGGAAATGATTCGTTCAGTCTGAGGCGATTTGTAATTAAGACATCTAATGCCTTAACTTTTCTTTTTGTAATTTCATATTAATTTTCCCTTGTAACCTCGTACTGAATTCTGAACATTCCAGCAACCATTATCATTAATGAACGATTAACTTGTCTTCTTGTGTACTTATTGACGTTGTCTTTAATCGTCAACCCCCCAAATATTTAACTGCTTTATGCTAAGATTCACGCACATTTTTTCTTGGTATTTCTGTCTCTTTCCCCAAGATTTCAGGCCATCTGATTCTAGTTACTAGGCACGAATGTGGCTGTTCATATTCTGTCTCTTCACCTTCACGCCTCTATAAATGCACTTATATTCCACACTTGTCATTTTCACTTCCATTTTCTTCTTCAAAACCAATTTGCTGCCATTGTTTGGCATTTTGACAATTGATCCAAAACCTTCGTCTTCCATGGAAATGGATCATTTGATCTGCCCATTTTGCCATCTTTCTTGATGTCACCTTTGGTATGGGAGATATAGGAAATATTCTTTGGCCACCAAAGTTCTTCCCATCGTCCTTACAAGGAGTTCGATGATGGAAGACAATTTTTGAGGATGCCTGCAAGCCACCTTGCTTGCTGAGAGTGCTTCTCAGTCTCCTTGCCCGTCATTGCAGCGATGCATTTAGGAAGGCGATATGAGGGTATTTCTTCTTCCTTTCTGCTTGCTGAGAATTCTTCTCGACCTCTCTGCTTGCCTTCGCAGCAGTGCGATCAGGATGGCAATCAAGGCCAGTACACCCTCTTACTCGACGATCGACCGGGAGATTAGTTTGCTCTTAATTGTAGTTTATAGAGCATTTAACATTTTGTATTTTGTAACTTTGTAATGAACGTTTGATAATAAAGGAATTTATTTGAACGTATTTCGCTCTGGCCCTTTTTACTCTACGATCGTTCAATGCGATTTGATTACGCTTTTATTTGTTCACT